CGGCGGGCCGCAACCTGCGCGTGGTGACGGGCGGCGGGCGCAGCTACTTCGCGGCCGACCTGCGCAGCGGGCGGCTGGTGGTGCGGGAGCGGCTGGACCGCGAGGCCCTGTGCGGCCGGCTGGCGCCCTGCGTGCTGAGCCTGCAGCTGGTGGCCGAGCGGCCGCTCGAGCTCTTCGGCGTGGCCGTGGAGGTGACGGACATCAACGACAACGACCCGGCCTTCCCGAGCCGGCAGATGCGGCTGGAGGTCAGCGAGGCGGTGGCGCCGGGGGCGCGCTTCCCGCTGGAGAGCGCGCAGGACGCGGACGTGGGCGCCAACGCGGTGCAGACCTACCAGCTGAGCGCCAACCCCCACTTCGCCCTCGACGTGCAGGCCCGCGCCGACGGCACCAAGTACGCCGAGCTGGTGCTCCGCCAGGCGCTCGACCGCGAGCGGCAGCGCGACCTCCGCCTGCTCCTCACCGCCCTCGACGGCGGCAGCCCGCCCCGCCCCGCCGGCCTCCAGGTCCTGGTCGACGTCCTCGACGCCAACGACAACGCGCCCGTCTTCAACCGCTCCGCCTACGGCGCCCGCCTGCGTGAGGACGCCCCGACGGGCTCCCTGGTGGCCCGGCCCAGCGCCGTCGACCTGGACGAGGGCCCCAACGGGGAGATCCTCTACTCCTTCAGCAGTCACACCCCGGCCCGGGTGCGCCAGCTCTTCGGCCTCGACGCCGCCACGGGGGAGCTGAGGCTCCAGGGCTCGCTGGACTTCGAGGAGGCCAAGTTGTACGAGATCTACATCCAGGCGAAAGACAAGGGCCCCAACCCTGCCGTGGCGCACTGCAAAGTGCTGGTGGAGGTCGAGGACGTGAATGACAACGCCCCGGAGATAACGGTCACCTCGGTGTACAGCCCGGTGCCGGAGGACGCCGCCCCGGGCACTGTGATCGCTTTGCTGAGCGTCAGGGACCAGGACTCTGGGGATAACGGACTGGTCCATTGCTCCATACCTTCGGGCATCCCCTTCGCCCTTAGCTCTTCTCTTAAAAACTACTACACCTTGCAGACCAAAGAGCCCTTGGATCGGGAACTGGTTTCGGAGTACAACATCACCATCGCAGCCCGGGATGGTGGCTCGCCTCCTCTGGTGGCGGAGAAGCAGGTGCTGGTCAAAGTGTCCGATATCAACGACAACCCTCCCAAATTCCCACAGCCCTCCTATGATTTGTACGTGGAGGAGAACAACCTTCCGGGGACCGTGATTCTTAACGTCAGTGCCTCCGACCCGGATCTGAACAAGAATTCCCACCTTTCCTACTCCATCCTGGACAGTAATAAGGTCTCGGGAGACCTGGTGGGCCGGTACTTTTCTATTAATCGAGACAATGGTACTATTTATGTCCTAGTGCCTCTGGACCACGAGGATACAATGGAGTTCAGGATGGTGGTCCAGGTCCACGATGGGGGCATCCCACCCCTCGCCACTAACCTCACAGTCGGCGTGTTTGTCACAGATCAAAACGACAACCCGCCCCAGGTGTTGTACCCACGCACAAATGCCAGCGCTTTGTTTTCAGAAACCATTTCCCCCACGGTCAGCCCTGGATACATGGTCACCAAGATTGTGGCTTGGGACGCCGATGCCGGTTACAATGCCTGGCTTTCCTATTTGCTCCTTCAAGCCACCGACCCAGGGCTTTTCACGGTGGGGCTGCACTCTGGGGAGGTGAGCACCGCTCGCGCTTTGCAGGAGGATGACTCCCGCAAGCAAACCTTGGTCATCTTGATCAAAGACAATGGGGAACCTGCCTTATCCTCCACGGTGACCCTCACCATCACGGTAGCCGAGGTGTCAGGGGAGACCTTTTCAGACCTGGCGATGATGCCCCTGGTGCCACAGACAAAGAAGCACTTGACTTTCTATTTAATCCTTGCTATCATCTTGATCTCAGTGGCCTTCTTTCTCACCGTCCTCGGGGTGGGCCTTTATAAGTTCTACAAGTGGAGGCGATCCAAGGACATTTTCAAGGCCTCCAGAAGCTCCCTTTACAGGACCCCGGGACCTTTCAACCACATAGACACTGTCCGGAGTGGATTTACTCCTCCAAACTTTTACCAGCAGGTTCTCACCACTGACTCTCGCCAGAGTGAGCTTCTATACAAAATGCCCTTTACCCCCAGTCCCATGGGCAGCTGCCAGAACACGCTCGCCAGATGTGATCCTGCACTATATAACCAGATAATAAGCACAAATAGTAGACATCTGGTGCCCTCCGAGGTAACGTATACTCATTGTTCTTGTCCCGCAAAGTCTGGAAAATACAATTCTGATCTTGCACTGACTAGAATGCAAAAAGCTAAAGTGGGTGTTTTTTTCCTCTTGGAAATGTTGCTGTTCCCGTGAAACCTGTTTCTCCTTTCCCATGAGGTGTTCTGTTTGACCCTGTAAGCAAGAGTCCCCCCCCCATTTAACCCCCCCCATGCATTTCCTGTGTTATTCCCTTCAGATGTTACATGGAGTTGATTGGTTCTCAGAATTCTTTCTGTACCAGTTCAAAAATACATAGGAGCTACGGGAGGGGCTGTGGCTCAGTGGCAGAGCATCTGCATAGTATGCAGAAAGTTCCAGGTTTAGTCCCGAGTACAGTGGTGGCGAACCTATGGCACGGGTGCCAGAGGTGGCACTCAGAGCCCTCTCTGTGGGCAGGCGTGCCATCGCCCCAGCCAGGCCCAGACCATCATTAAAGTGTCGAATTCTCTGCCAAATAATTTTAAGTCAATGAAAGCATTTGGGATTGCTTTCCTTACTTTGTTTGGATCATCTTAAGTTAATGTATGAGTTGTTTTTTTCTAAAGTAAAACCTCAGTATTCTGGTTAAATTGCCGTGTTGGCACTTTGCGATAAATAAGTGGGTTTGGGGTCGCAGTTTGGGCACGCAGTCTCTAAAAGGTTCCCCATCACTGCCCTAGTATCTCCAATTCAAAGGACCATGTGGTAGGTGATGTGAAAGATCTCTGCTGGAGACCCTAGAGAGTTTCTGTTCAATGCGAGGGGAGGGGTGAGGAGTTCACAGGCCCAGAGGACTGTTGGTGTAGGACAAAAACTTGGTATATAAAGTAATGGATTCTTAATAAGAATACATATTGGAAGAATTCTAGGTGCCCTTGTTGTTTGGGTTGTCTGAGGTTGCTGAAGCAAGAAAATCTGTAACGCTTCCTTGTGTCTCTAGCTAATATGTTTCGCCCGTTTAACTTCCACATATTACAGGGATGTAAACGCAAGGCACATTCTGCATACTTACAACTTCGGAGAATGGGGTAGTATCAAATACACTGTGTATATAGTCAAGCAGGTGTGAACAGGAGGGAAACAACCCAAGGTAATTTGACACAGGGCTTCAATGGCATTTTGTTTCAAGAGGTCATCTTCTAAGATTATTGCAGGAGAAATGGGAACAGGAAGTTGGTTGGTTGACAGTTGCTTGGGGTGCAGAAGAGGATCTCCGCACTATAAAAAGGGCCTTGCAGAGAGCGCCTACCCAAGATGCAATGCTCTGGGAGTGGCCACTTGTAGTGCAGGCCCCTGTCTACACTTGATGTGCTTTCTCCGGATAGTGGCCTGTCATAGAGTCGGCCATCTTGATTTTGACATCCTTCCAGCGGAATAAGTGAGAACTAAGACGATGGAAGGACTTCTGTGAAGGACATCAGTTCACAGGAGTTTTATGCATTTTACATTCTTTGATTCTTCAATGTTCAAGTGTGTGTTTGTTGTTTCTGGTTTTACTTTTGTTTTCTGAGGTCCCTGCCACACGGCAGGGAAAACACCGGCCAAAGTGCGGCTAATTAGAGCCGCACCAAAATAGAGACGCCACGGCGGGATCCCACGGATCCCCTGAGCCGCGGCGCCGTTGCTCCCTGGCACGATTAGATGCCGGGGAGGAAGACACGGTCGGGAGGGGGAGGCTGCTGAACTGCGCATGTGTGAGCATGCGCAGTTCGGCCAGGAGCCGGGGATGCGCCGGCGGAAGGACGCGCCAGCGATCCCACGGCCGGCCTTGATGCGGACTTCCCGGATGAACCACCTCAGTAGGTGGTTCATTTTTGCTGCGGGGTTTTTGGCGGAAGGGCCGGATCGGGAACGGGCGCGCAATGCTTCCCAGATGTTGCGGTGGGATCGCGCCCATTTGTTGCGGCCCTGATCCGGCCCTCTCCCGGCCCAAAACCTCTCGTGTGACCAGGGCCTGAGGAAAGTAAACCTTTAAGGCAAACCCCTCACAAATCCTGCCCATGGGTTGTTCCATGTTTTCAATTAAATTCCAGATCTGCACAACTTGCAACTCCCTGAGCCTAGTGCAGCGCACCCACTGTACATCGTGGCCTGCCGGATGCTTCATGGGCCCCCCACCCCACTTGCTCCTCCAAGTAAGCATCAGACATAAGCCAGTGACGGAACAAACCAGACGGGGCTGGTGGGCTGTGTTCAGCTGGCGGCGGGGAAGGGGGAGCTCCGACAGAATCATCCCCGACAACTACATCTTTTTAAAGTCCATTGAAGTCAGTCTGCTTAGAAGGGTATCAATCCGTTCAGCATTGCGATGCCAGTTGGCCAGGTCTGATATTTTGAAAGATTTCTAACTGTGCTATTACCCTAGGCTCAGTGTAACTAAACAGGGCACAGATTCAAATAAAACTGCCTTTAAGAGGGGGTCCCCCTTCATTTCCCCTCCTATTCTGTAGTTAGCCGTTTGCAACACTTCGTTGAGAAGAGGAGGCCTTGGCCTTTCTCAGACTAGGAAGGGAAAGGAAGTCCCACAGTTGGCGAGCAGCCACTGGGAATTAACCCCGTGCTGTCACCAGGATGAGCTGATGCTGGAGGCCTCTCTCAGAGAATCTTACAGATCCTCAGGTAGGGTTGCCAAGTGCCCCCTGACCACCGGTGCGGGATGGGGGGGTAGGGTTGCCAGATCCAGGTTGGGAAATTCCTGGAGATTAGGGAGTGGACTCTGGGGAGGACCGGAACCTCAATGGGGTGCAGTGCCACAGAGTCCACGCTCCAGCGCATCCATTTTCTCCTGGGGAACTGATCTCCATAGTCTAGAGCAGGGGTCATTTCCTGCAGGAGTGCACAGGAGCAGAGCTCCAGCAGTAAGGAGCCCAGGCATCCCTAGCCCCATTTAGGGCCTCCTTCCCACTGAGGTGAGGTTGCCAGCTCGAGATTGGGAAACTCCTGTAGATTTGGGGGTCTGGAGTCTGGGGAGGACAGGGACCTCAGTGGGGTAGAATCGATGTCCTAGGGCCCACCCTCCAAAGCATCCATTTTCTCCAGGGGAGCTGATCTCTGTAGTCTGGAGATGAGCTGAAATTCCAGGAGATCCCCAGGTCCCACCTGGAGACTGTAATCCCTCGGACAGATGAATCTTCCTACAGAGAGCGTTCCAGAGCTTTGGGGGCCATGACGGCAACCTCCCTATCTTCAGTCTAAAATGGAACATCTCCGAGGCAGATTTACCAACCCAACAAGAAGTAGGCCATACGGAAGGGGGGGGATAGTATGTGAAGGGAGGGTCGTAATGCTCTGCAGGGTCTAAGCTGCTTATGACTGTACGCTAAAACCTACAAAGTATGCAGGTTCCGTGTGGCTTTATAGCTTAAAACCTACAGACCCTAGGGAGCCCGTGGAGATGCTGGGGCCCTAATATTATGGACTACTTGTTATGCCCCCCCCCCCCAGTGAAAATCTGGAAAAAGCTTTCAAGGGTAGCCCCATTTAATGTCTGTGTCAGAAATGAGTAAGGTAACTGCATATCTTCTTATCGTTTATATGAAACTACACCTTATCTGGAAGGCCAGATAATGAAACTGAAGCTCAAATACTTTGGCCACCCAATGAGAAGGGAGCACTCACTGGAGAAGACCCTGATGCTGGGAAAGATTGAAGGTCAAAGAAGACGGGGACGGCAAAGGATGAGATAGTTAGACAGTGTCATAGATGCAAGGAACATGAAGTTGAGCAAACTTCAGAGGACAGCGGAAGACAGGAGGGCCTGGCGGGATCTGGTCCAGGGGGTCGCGAAGAGTCGGACTCGACTGTGCGACTGAACAACAACAACACGTTACTTTTGAGACACTCCAGAAAAGTTGCTGTGTGTGGACTTGCAAAAACCAATCAACCCATATGGTGTTGGATGCTTTCCCACAGGTCCCTGCCAAGTGCTCTGGACCACACCTGTACTAGGAGGTGTGAATGCAAGGCTGCACTGAATAGTATGAGGTCCCTTGCAAGCCCTGGTGCGCTGTGGCTTCTGGGTCTCAAGGGCTGAATGTTTGGGGGGGGGGAGGTTATCTTCTTCTCAGGGTCTCCAGGGAGGAGGCTGATATTTCCGCATGAGAGCCAGCATGGTCTAGCAGTTAAGGCGTCAGGTCTCCTCCTCTCCCAAGTTCCATCCCCTGCAGCTCAGGAGATTCACTCTGCTCACTACTTGCAAAGAGTTGCTAAAGTGCTTTGAAGGTGGATTGGAAGTGCATGATTCAGTGTATGTGAAAGTGCCACAAGCAGGGGTCATTTCCTGCAGGAGCGCACAGGAGCGGAGCTCCGGCAGTAATGAGCCCAGGGGGCGGGCACATGCAACAAGCCCCACCCCCTGCTCCCAGCAGCCTTCAGTCAGAGCAAGAAGCAGCCAGGTAAGTTGCAGAGCTTCCCCCCCGGCCCCCCAGTCCAAAACAGCCCAGTGGCACCTTTAAGACCAAGTTCTATTCAGGTACTAGCTCTCCCTCCTCTGCGAGGACAGATCTGCATGTTCCCACCCACCCCCAATAGCTAGCAATCCAAAGCAGTCCAGTGGAGCCTGAGCGGTGGGTGTTGCCTTCTGACACACTTTCAGTGATGGCATATGCAAATAAGTTATGCTAATGAGTTATGCTAATGAGCTCCTGCACCTCTTTTTCTACGAAATGACCCCTGGCCACAAGTGTGCCTCAGTTGGGAGTCCGAATGACTTCTGACCAGAGACAGCTGGAAGGAGACAGCTCTGAGAAATTAGGGTTCTTTGTTACTTTCCTTATGTTTGTGACTTTTATTGTTTTCATTGCAAAGGGTTTTTTTTAAAGCTTTGTGTGCATCTGGTACCAGCTGGGGCCAGGTCTTCTTTGCAAGGTGAGAACTCCCTCCTTCCATCCCCTGCCAAGAGGTTTAAGGCTTTGGCTGGTAGTAGATGGCAAAGCTCAGTGGCACTGGAGTGGCATGTAAAAATGACACGGGGGGGGGGGGGGGGTTGT